AGGCCGGGGTCTTTCTGTGTGGAGTTTGCATGTTCTCCCCGTGTTTGCGTGGGTTCCCTCCGGGTACTCCGGCTTCCTCCCACCGTCCAAAGACATGCAGCTTGTGAGGATATATTCAAATAATTAAAGAAAAATTAATTTACCTGTTGCTACCACACACCCAATCCGATTGTTAGTACTTGCTGGCTTGTGTAGCCACTAGGTAACAAAAGCTCAACACGGCCCCTAGCATCCTGGAGCACTTGTGTTGTGTTTTGGAGTTTTGTATGTGCTTTGTCTCTAGTGGCCACTTTAGATATACTTTTATTTATTCACTCCACACAAAATGTAATAAATAAATTATAAAATACAAAAAACAACTATTTACATTTCATACATTTAAACTTTTAAGTAGTTAAATTTTCAGCTTTTTCCTTTTAAACAAATTTAAAGTGAAACAACACAAAACACTGCAAACCACAACACAATAGAATATGGGGGGGGGGGAGAACGCCCAGACCTTTAATTAAGGGAAAGGTTGTCACTGAGAAATATTAATGTCACACTCAACTGACTGCGTTTTATCTTCCCATTGCACTGATGGGTGGACATTTCTTAGGTGCCTGTGCATGTTGTTTTTGGAGCCGGCTCTATATTATATCCTTTTCTTGCAGACTCTACACTCTGCCTTTGTGTTGTCAATAAGACTGAAATGGTTCCAGACTTTGCTTCTTTTCTTGGTGTTACTCATTTTCTTTACTGTACCTTTCCAGTATGACGGTGTTGTCTCTTGTTGTTGCTCCCGGCTGCCTTTTTTTCCCTCTCCCTCCTGCTCTTGTTGTGTGCTACTGCTGTTGCAAGTGTAACTACCACCCGCCCCCTCAGCTCAGGGGGGAGGGACGCAAACGCAAGGCTCTGTTTGCCGTCTCTGCTCAGTGCAAACACAAGGGTGACTTGCAGCGTGAAGCAAAAAAAGTGAAAGAGAGGGCAGGAGAAAGAAAAATAAAACCCCACGGCTCGCAACGTTCACTTCAAAGAACCGGCTCTAAGAGCCATTTCGTTCGCGACCGACCCATCACCATTTCATTGGACTTTTCGGACTCGGACGCTCACTTCTCATGGGAATAAGAAGCTTTATTTTGTAGCGCGATCAGAAAAAATACTTGAATTACCCATAGCGAATTCATTAGTTTTTAACAATTAATTCCGGAAGTACGAATGCTGGCGGTATCATTCAATTCTTCACAGGTTTCACGAAACTACGTTAAGCTAGCAATATCCTTAGTTGAGAAGACTCGTCTGTCAGGCTCCATGCTGGAAGGAGACTCGGAAGACTAAATTGTGGAAATATGGCTTTTAAAAGGCGTTAACACAATAAGGTTCAGCGTGCTGTCATTAATGTATTGTTGATACCAATGGAAAGCTCAGTGATTGGTCTTCGTCTATCCTTGAAGCAACGATATTTTCTTCTACTTTGCGTCGCTGCCGCGGGAATAATTATGTATCGCTTTACAAGGTAAGGCAAACACTGATACAGCGCTGTTTTTACCGGTCACTAACTTTTACTAAGAGTTATGTGCGTGAAGACATCTCGCACACTGATACGTGAAATGTTTACAGTTTGTGATTGTTAAGCTCCACGAATCGTGCTTGGAGCTACTGGTCCGTATTCAACTCAGCTACACAGCGACTGACCAGGGCACCTGTGAACGCGTATCTGGCTCACCTGTTAGACTCTACGTGTCTACGTAACAGCTACTTGTCTTTCACTGGCCCACTTTTCCCACACACATTTTATACTCAAGCCTAGTCCTGGAGAATTAAAAAAACAAAACAAAACGCTGGAGATTTACATTAAAATTATTATTCTTAGACTGTAGTATGTGAAAAAAAACGGATAAGGTAAAACTTGTGTGATGTTATTCAGCTGAAATATATTCAGCTTTTTTCAGTAAGGTTGGGATGCTATGTAAAATGTAAATTAGGCATGTAACTGCTGCTTAGATAACCCTGTAACAGGCCAGTAGAAATAGTAGGTATGAAAAGTGACGATAAGAACATCACAGAGAGGCTAAGTTCACCACTCTCTGAAAGGTTATGAGAGAAAATAGTTTAATAGCTGAAGAATAGCATTTGTCCGTCTAGATTTCCAATATGAGCATGCGGGGATTTCATCATCTGAGCATCACTAAAAGATTAAACACAATAAGGAGAAATAGCTACATGTAAGAGGAAATGCAGATAACCAGTGCTGAATGGACGTGATCTCTGGGCATTCAGGCAACACTGCATAAAAAACTTAACTCAGAAACAGAGAAACACTGTTTATCATTGCATGTGCAAATGGAAGATAAACATGAACAAAAACACCTCCAGAAACCTTAAGATGTCCTCTGGGCCAGAGCTCAATTCAGATGGACTGAGGTGAAAACATGTGCTGACTGTTTAAATTCTTTTTAGATAACATAGACACTTTCCTCTGCAATAAAAAGAAGAGGTACTGTCCAACTTGTTTGAAACCAGTTTAAAAACAAGCTTTCACAATCTTACACAAACCATAGGTAACCTGCACACTTGCAAAGGCACCGGTAACCAAGTGATAATCTGCCATTCAAATCAACATATTCGTTTGGGAAAGCCTCCACGAGGACAATGCCACATTTTGTCAAGTCAAGTCAAAGTTTATTTCTGTAGCCTCTGCTTTTAAGCCTGGATCTAGAAATGTCCTAGAGCAGATGGTTCTAGACCTCAGTGCTCTGTTAGGGTTTTAAAAGTTATGTTAAGTAAAGGCATCAAACCACTGAGACGCTTAAAAACAAGTATAAAATTTTAAACTGGATCCTGAAAGCGACTGCACGCCAGTGTAAAGGACACCAGTACAGGTGTAATGTCATCACATTACATTTTGATTGCATTTTGAACGACTTGAAGATGACGAAATAAGATTAGAGCCAACATATAAAGAGTTACAATAATCGAGACAAGAGGTAATAAACTGGTAAATTACACAATCAAAGTCAGGTGGCGTGAGGTAGGCCTTCACCTGATTGAACGAAGCATGTCTTAACAAAACAGCTAATTAGTTTATCAAATGTTAATGCACAGTCAAGAATCACACCAAGGTTCATTGCAACCAGATGACAGAAAGAGGCTAAGAGTCCAGTGGTGCTGTCTTACCCGTCTAATGCGTTTGGGTTGCCCAAGTAGAATCATTTCTGTTTTGCTTTTGTTCAAATGGAGGAATTTTGTATAATTTTGTATTTGACATTTTGGCCGTATTACAGCAGCATGATTCTGCGGGGAAATATCCACTAAACACATTAAAAATATAACGAATTTAAAAGTATAACAAATTAGCTCTGAAGCAGCTGAAGTTATATAGTAACCAAGACCTTCAAGACCTGCAAAAACAAAATGTTTGCAGACATTTACTAAATTACTAAAAGAAATTATGATGATGTAACACTGATGCAACCCTCCCCTCCTCCCACCCAAACATAGTACAATGTTGCCGTTGTACTATTTTTTAAAATTAATATAGGTTTTAAATAGTGTAAAAACAAGGGTGACGCAGTAAAACATGAGAGAACTGGTTCGTGAACCTAGTAGTGATCAGAACTCAAAATCAAACTCAAGATAATCAGCCATAAGCATTTTATTGCAAGCTGACAAAAGACAAAATCTCAGTATTTCAATATAGTGCTTACACTAACCATTGACCCCTAAAGGTGTGGCTTTCCTTTTATGCTCACCACGATAAGATATACAAGCTACCTATTACCTCTGCGCTTCAGTAAGGGAGATTTCCACGAACTTGCAACAGGTTTTAAATATTAGCAGTTTTCCTTTTCTTGTTCAGCGAGTTCTTTCACAGTCTCAAAGTTTTGCCTCTTAGGAACCACCCTGAAACAAGAAGAATGAACCGTGTGGAGGGCCTGAGAGCCAACTCTTCTCAGTTCACTCTGGAGAGAAAACCTTTCCTCATCTTGGGAGGCTCCATTCATTACTTCCGTGTCCCAAGAGCTTACTGGGAGGACCGGCTGCTGAAGATGAAGGCCTGTGGCCTTAATACTCTGACTACGTAAGCTACTACAACTCAAGACTGTCTGAACACATAGGCGGAAAATTCATTGCCCATACTTCTGTAAGGAGTTTGCGGCTGAAATAATGCACATAATAATGCACACGTATGCATTTAAAAAAGTTTAATTTCTTTTTTCAGATATGTTCCTTGGAACCTGCACGAGCCAGAGCGGGGGGTCTTCAAGTTTGAGGATCAGCTAGATTTAGAGTAAGGACTGAAGGCAGGGGAAGGCTTTCAGGGAATTCAGAAGATCGCCTGCAGATGGCACTGTTATATTGCTAAAGACTTGAGTTTGCCAGCCTTGAGTGATTTGAGGTTATAAGAAATGTTTTAAATCAATTAGTGAACTTTGTCTGTCAGTGATTGAGTTATTATTTATAATGTCATTGACCTGTTAAATCTGTTAAGGTTAAGAAAAATATTTTACAGTGAGAAAATATATTATTCATTTAAATACTTTATTGACTTTTATTCATAATAAATGGCCCCCACTGACAGCTCATTTTACATCCGTTCCTTAGAGCCTACCTACGTCTTGCAGCCAGCTTGGGCCTCTGGGTGATTCTGCGACCAGGGCCTTACATCTGTGCTGAGTGGGACTTAGGGGGACTACCCAGGTAAAGATTTTAGATATGCAATCAAGTGTTACTGTATATTTATACATAATTTGTAAGTGCCTTAAAGCATTAGTTACTCTGGAATCTGATGCGTAAAACAGCTAGTAGATTGCTAAGCAGTTTAACTTGATTACAGTGCTGTGCAAAATCATTTCTTTATATTTTGCCTCCAAGGAAGCAGACTTCCTCGTAATATTTAAAATGATCTTAAACAATAGTTCTCCAGACTTTTAGAAGAGCGTTGAGAATTGTTTTAGATTGACATTCACTAATTTTCACTGCAGTTCTTGTACCTGACCATTTTCACAGGAATGTTTTTTGTTTAGTTTTTCTGCTTGTTTAAATGATTCAGTTCAATGATTCAAGCGTAAAAATGCCCATAGCTCAATTGATGGACTAGTGTTGTGTTTACTCATAACAAAGAATTTACCAAAGAACCAATTTTAAATTGTATTTTTAGGCACTTTCACAGGCATGGAATAGTATTTCATTGTGAGTTGTTTTACAGGTGATTTCAAAGAACTATTAGCCTCATTAGAAATGGTCTCAGTGGAACAGTTGCTGACAGGAAGCCATTCGTTAGGAAGGGAAATGTAGAGAAAAAACCGAGGCTAGCCAAATTGCTCAAGAACTGGACTGAAAATCAGTCGGCAAACAGGTCTGATGGCTTGATGAATGCAAGTATGACATTTTTGGTTAAAATGTTATCAATATGTATGAAGGAGGTTGGGAGAAAGGTGCAACAGTGAGTGTCAGCAGTCATCTGCAAAACACAGTGGAGGCTCTGTCATGGTGTAAAGCTGCATTCTTCCAGTAGTAGTGTTTGAGATCTTGACACAAATGAATGAAATTATGCACGGAGAAAAGTACTGTCAGATTTTCATCCACTGTGTAACACCATCTGGACAGTATCTGGTTGCCTGCAGCTTCATTTGTTAGCATGAAAATGATCTCAAACACACTGTTGATCCAGTAAAAGCATAACTTGATGAACAAACACATAGTCGCTGTCAGTCATGGATTGGCCTTCCCTGTAGCCCAGACCTCAATATCTTAACAGAGAACAGAACAACATCTAGAACATCTAAATAAGTGTTTTGGATGTCCTTCAAGAAGCATGAAGAACTACTCCTGAAGACTTTCCTTTTATGTTTGTAGATGTTTAAATTAAATGCTGCAGCCATTTTTCATTTTCCCAACAAAACAAACTCTTGCACAGTACTTTATAACTTCTATTATCAAGCGGTTCCTTTGCAGAGGGCAAAATTTGTTTAGTAAATATAAGAACTGCCTCATTATTAAGTCATCTGAGTTTTTTTTAAGTGTGCAAGGACAAAAATTTCTTGATTTCTTCTGGAAATTTTTTTTTTTGTTTATTTTGTTTTGTTTTGTTTGTTTGTAAGACCCACCTTACAGGTTTGCACCTGCAGTACAACAGGTCCTCACATAGGCTTATTAAGAATAAACAGCAATATGCAGTACGCCATGTAAGTTTGCCACTGCTGTTACTCGAATGAAAGTCACTGAGGACTACCAGCAGACTTTTAGAGATATATTGGCGACAGCCATAATTAAATCTGACAGGCACATCTCCCTGAAAGATGAATTGATTTACTTCTGTAATCACGATAGATTCAGACAGATAATCAGATAATTGCTGGCAGGAATAAGGTAGTATTTTTAGAGCAGTATTTTCCTTTTGGGAATGTGAGGGTGAGGTAATTATTTGATAATTGTCAAATCTGAGCGAGAGGGACAGAAAAATGCACTAAAGCATGACTTCCTCTGCTTGACGGTAGCCATTCTTAGGTCAGCTTGGTGCAGCTGTCTTTAAAATCGTAAAGTGAAATCGCATCACAACACTTTGCGCTGTGATTTCTTTTCAGCTGGCTGCTAAGGGATCCCCAGATGAAACTGAGAACAACCTACTCTGGATTCACCGATGCAGCCAACTCCTTTTTTGATGAGGTCATAAAGAAAGTCGTCCCACATCAGGTAGTTTTCTATGAGTTTACTGAAAATGTAGAGGTCCTGACCTTTGTAAGTGAAACATGCTTATTAATGTTCCAGTTGCGAGGGGGGCTGAGAAAAATGACTTACACCAAAGTACTATGGTGTAAGAGAAATAACAAACAGATGTCCCATACAAATTTAATAGATTTTCTTTTAAATTCAGTAAGCACACAGTTTAAAAAGCAATCATGACTCCAATGTGATACAACAATTGTAAGATGATGACACTTTTATAACCTCAATCGCTACATCAATATTTTCATTACAACGTCCTGAAATGCCGTGCAGGGCCCGGCTGCCATTAAGAATGTGGTAAACAGTTTTAGCAAGGCTTACAGTGGTTACCAGACACACTTGAGTTGCTTATCTTGTGTTCACAGCCTTATTTTTTTTATCAGCTCCGTGCATCACTGAACACTAAAGCTTTCATATCTCAATATTTTTTTTTTTCCATTTTAACTATGCTGAGGATAGGAACGAGAAAGAACTTGTGTCAAGTCATACTGTATGTCCTAATATATGGCTAATTGCTGCACAGTACTCCAAGGGTGGCCCGATTATAGCAGTTCAAGTGGAGAATGAATATGGCTCCTATGCTACAGATGAAAATTACATGCCCTTCATCAAGGAGGTAAGGAGGTAGTTAATAAAGAACTATCAATAAATAGGT